GACGCGTGTAATAGTGTAATGGATAAAGGGAAACAATAAAAATGATGATGATAATAATAAAAATAATTAGATGATATTGTGTACATTGTGTATTCGCGACAACGCATTTCCGCCACGTGCTTGTTGCCGCATTGGTTCTCAAAAAATGATATAACTATAGGTATAAGCAATTCCTGATCGAAAATAAATTATAAATATTTTTGTTTGTTGGGTGGGAGCAGGGGTGGTGGTGAGAATATTTATGTTTCTCGAACACACGCGTCGAAACAAACGGGGTCGACGTCGAGACGAAATGACGTAATCCGAAGCAAAATAAATGCGTTTCTCGTTATAAGTCATCTTCTCGGTCTCTGTAAGTCTAAAAAAACCGCAGTCTAACGCAAATTTTTTTTGTCACATAACGGATTGCGCAATTTTCGTTTTTGGCACACACTACTCTATACTGCACCGTCGTCGCCTCTTCGTCCGGTTATTATAATACAGTGTAACCGACGATAGTTGCACTATCCCCGATACTATAACATTTAATACCATAACAATAATAAAAATATAATATAGTGAAAATGTCATAACCACGCGTCGCAAAAACGACAGATTGTTGTAGAGGTCGGAATAAAACCTAATCCAGTGCGTAATCGTTATGCAATTTGTATTAGTATATTATGATTTATAATGCGTACAATGGTATAATACTGGAGTCCCCCTTTACAGCGTGGGCGCAAATCATTATTATTATTATTATTGCACGACGAATAGAAAACTCATTTTTTAAATATGTTTATTACAATATAATCATTATATTGAATAATGGTATTACTTTGCGACGACAACACCCGCCGAGTAGTAGAAATACTGGTTGTGGCGGCCACTACCCTGGGCGGCGTTTAACGCACGGGAAAAAATAAAAGTGGTCCCGCCGCCCTACCACTCGTGTTGTTTACAGACCGCGGCGAACACGACCAAGAAATAATAATAAAACCGACGGGCCCGCGCGCAGCACACCACCGCGGTGGAACGCACACGATCGTCGTCGTCGTCAGTGGAAAGAAAAAATACGAACGAGCTGGAGTTTCGACATATTATTATTATTATTGTGATAAATACCATGCGTGTGTGAATATTATTATGATAAACATATTTGGCGTGTCGTAACCCACGATCGCGATCGATGACGATTAGTTGTACACTATAACAAGTATAACAACAAACGCGTTGATATCTCGTCGGTCATGGCGCGACGCGTTACGGAAAAACCGAAAAGTTTTCGAAATAATTTGAAAATGTAAAATATGTTCTAATCGCTACTATAGTGTAATAATGCAACGCAGAAAGGATTTCGTTCGCGCGATCCGTAAACCCGATATGATATTATTATTATTACTGTAAAGCCGTCCTTATTTTAATACATAATAATAATATTATGAGCATAATTTACGTAATTGCGTACAACACACGCCGTCGAGTACCTATTGCTAATACGAGCAAGCGCACGCGCGTAGGAGTAAGTAACGAGAGTACGAGACAACACGCTCGGCTGGCCCGCCGGTGAGTCACACAGCGACTTACACATGCGCGCCCGTGTGATCTAAAGGAAAACAACAATCGCGTGTTAAACGAACGGAGAGGCGGCGGAGGGGTTAGATAATAATATTACATGTGCATCGGCGGAGTGTAATATATTATTAGCATAAATTTAAAACGCCGCCGTCACGAAAGTTTCCGACCAGGCGACGGTTGAAAACTATAAACCTACCTATAGCAACTACTATATAACATTATATTATGGTATACTTCGGGTGTGCGTGTGTGTGTGTGTGTCACCGGCCGGAAAAGAATATAAATAAACGAAATAAACCCGACATGAGTAGACGAGACAGATAACTTTTAACGTATCCGGCGGGCAGGTCGGGTGGTAATCCAGATTAATTAGTCGAACGAAACGTCCGAAGCCTAAGTACCGGCACTATAGATGGTTTTTACAGATAACGTCGACTACGGGAGGAAAACGCGTTCGTGTATTAGCGCACTACCGCCCGAGGATTGCGATAAAATGTGCACGTATTAGATTATAGTGTTTAGAGGGACGTCGTCGTGTACGATTATTTTTTTAAATTTAACAACTCGGAAAACGAATAATTTTTGTGGAAAGCACTCGACTACGTGATTAAACGTTCAGAAAACAACTTTGAGTCATCAGGTGATGTCACTGAAAGCCACACACGCATCGCTAAACATAATATTATTTAACGTTAATTAATAATATTCTAAGTATAAAAACATATAAATAAATCATTGATCGTGGATTCCTTGAGCAATAATCATTATTTTCTAAAAGACGATAACACGATTGGTATTTCCAACAGAACAAAAAAATGTATTTCTGAATACAGTACATACGAAAGCAAAAATAAATTCGACACAACCAAAAATGCTTTTATGCAATAGATTCGATTTCACCAAAACGACGCTATTGCTACTTAGACTGTACTATATACACACAACTCGAACGCCGTAGAAGATACATTTACGAGTGTTGGATCGAGAAGTTTATTACCGACCAGTTTTAATGACGATCATCTGGATCGGCAACAGCAGAGACCGGCGTTGCAGAATAGTTTTTGAATAATGATTATAGGGTGGTGTCGAGGGTAAAATGTCCGTACGGAATAATATCGTGTAAATAATAATAATAATATTATTATTATCGTTATATTCGTTATAGCTAAGCAAACATCTTTTACGTAATTTGTTTTAATTATAAATTAACATTCGTATGCATCCGTATGCTTAAAATATGGAAAGAAAAACGCAAGTCGAGCCAGCAGCAACAGTTCGAATATTATTTACGACGACTATGAAATCGAAACGACTGTAAACAAAAACGAGTTTTGAGAACCCCTCGGGTATTTTGGGAACGCGCGCCAGCCAGGTCCTCCATGCAGACGCGTCGCATATTATTATTATATATTGCTGCGACGACGACGACAACGCAAGGGGATCAATAAAACGAGACGGAGAGAAACGACATCGACGTAGTCCGTTGAACACAACACGTGTGTGTATGTTATATGTATAAATGTATAATATAATATATTGAGTGAGTGCCACCGTGCCCCGTCGTTCAAAAACAAACACACACAAGAACACTACACTCGCAGACGTTATGTACTTGTATAATAATCATAATGATAATGATAATAATAATAATAAATGCGGCGGCGGCGATCAGAAAAGCACAACCGACACAGGTCGCGCGCACACACACCTTCGTCGCAGTCGTTCCAAATCTCCCCTCGTCACCCCACCAACGCTACCACCTAACCAACCACAGCTATTACACGCCATGGAAACCACCGGCGTCGAGCAAACAATGAATTAAGTTTTTATTATTATGAATTTTCGTAAACAAAAAGTAAAAGAATTCCGGGGCAAAACACACGACGATGACGGAGGGAAAATAAAAACGTCCAATTAACGGCGTCGTTTTGGACTGCAGCAGCGTAAACATACGACACGAAACGGACCACGTGTGTTGCGCCGCCGGAGTATAATGCACGTCGAGACGACCGTGTGCGTCTATAAATATGGCTATGGGTAAAATAAAAAATAAATAAATAAAAAGGAAGAAAAACGGGTGTACCACCCGGTAGCTGACGACGCTTGGCACCAGCTGGTTTTTGGCCCAAAGAAGAATATAATATGTGTTTGGATTAACTCGAGGCCGCGTTTGTATCGTGGTAGTAGTAATCTTTCTCTCCTTTTTTTTCTTTTTCTCTCTCCATCACTCTCCTCGTCGCGACCACCACCCCACCACCAGACACGAAAAAGAATAATATACCCGACGGATTACACACATGTGGCCCCGGCACGTAATTGTCGCTCTATTTATTACACACGCACACGGCCGTAACCAGGGCCACGTCGAGTAGAGGAGTTTACGATATAATATACAATATTGTATTATGCGTGTGTACCTTATTTCTTATTTACGATACGATTATTTCAAAAGTTACGAGAATAAAAAAAAACATAATAACGTGTACTCGACTCGGCGGACGACGACTACGACAACGATGATATTATACAATGTCGTTAAGGATAATATGATGAAATATACGCGCTCGTTATTATTACGATTGTGTTTCGAATAAGAAATCCAATACGTCTTTATTGTACAACAACTAGTACTACTTACAACCAACTAATATTACACTGCAGCAGCGTACCTCTCTAATGTATTATGTTATTGCTTACAGTTATTAATAACGACGAATGTAACGAGTACAGACGACGAATCATTACGACAAATCACTTTAGGACCTATGTCAGATTTGACGAATTCTCCAGAAAATATCATAACCACCACCACCGGTCATGTGTGTCAAGCAGACGTTTCAAAACTGCGTAAAATAAAAATCTATGTACGATGTAATACAAAACGCGTGTTCGTTAGAGTTCGGTCTGGTTAAAATATAAGATATAATATTAAAAACGCTCCGAAAGGAGAAGATTACAAATGACACATGAATACCCACATAATAATCATAATAATAATAATAACAATATGTACATAGTAACGCGTATAAATCGTCCGTAGCGCGTTACTCAACAGCGGGAGAAAGTCTAGTCGTCCTTGAAAACAAAAACATCGCTATGACCCTAACCTCCAAGCCGGCGGCGGGTCATTAAAAGTCCGCCCCCTACTACAGTACTACTACTAATACTATTACTACTACTCTTCCACCCGTCACGGACGGCTCTGATATATTTTTGTTCCCTTTTGAATAATACGATCATACCTAAAGACGTCTTTAGGTTTCTCACGACCGATGTGTGTGGGTGTGTGGGAGTACCCAGTACCTAACGTAGTAATGTGGTATATACATAATATCGTTATTACCTGTACCGCGCGTATGGTATGTACATATAAATATATAGATATAAACGTGGGGTAGTCGACCTGTTGGAAGGACAAAGGTACCTATATATCTTCGGCAGAGATGGACCGTGACGTCGGCGGCGGCAGAGCCTCTCCGCGCCGGTCGACCGTAACAATAATTGGTGTGGGTCGACGGTCGGCGGGCGGAGGAGAGCATCCGTCCGAAACAAAGAACCTCGGTCGACCGTCGTCGTTGCTGCTGCCGCCGCCTTACCCCTACCCCATCCATCAGCCGTCCATGTCGGTCGGTCGGCCGGCAATGTTGTCGCGTCTGCGAGCCGCCGCCGCCGCTATTACGACAAAAGAAAAAAGCGCGTGAGTGTTCTCGACGAAAAACTGGTCGCACGCGACCCCGTCGGATCGGCGCGCCGCTCAAAAGGTTGTCGACCGGTCGTACACGAGTTTTTATTTTTCTACAACACACGACCGAGTTGAGCACTTAAATTATAATAGTCATAGAAATAAATAATAATATTACGTTCGGTACAACTGGCGTCCCACAAACAAGGCTACCTTCAAGACCACGTGTTTAACGCCCACGCCATGCGGTATCCCCCACCCCCTCTCAGTTATTTTGCCCTAAGAGGCTTACCGTTTTTCTCTCACCCGAAATGACCTAGGCAGGGTCACACTCACCTGGTACAGCTCCACAACTAATTTTCAAGAAACTAGAGAGTGATGTGGTGGCGGAGTGGAATGGGTATTGCGGAGGCGTTGCAATCGCTTGAATAGGTTTTTTTTCGAGTTTTTATTTTTTGGATTTAGTGTTATGGGAAAAAATTTAACGCCCGACGTCAACGGGTAAAATAGATCAATTCAAGTACTAGTTATGATGGGTTCTCGAAAATCAGGGAACGCGTGCCTCAATTATGTTGTGTTGCATCATCAGTTTGAAAATTTGAAAGAGTGGGGAAGTGAATAAAAGCGACGGATTCGACAGAAACGATTAATACAATTTCCAAAACAACACATAATATATATAGTTTTATTTGTTGAAACACGTTTTATCGAAATTCAGCAGATTATTATTTTTTTTTATATTCTAAATGTGTATTTAATTTAATTTTTTTGTTTTTATCATATCTACCGACGTCCGAGGCACAATATTATGACAAAACGTGCTCGCTATCGCCGTCGTCCGACAACGATATTGTATTATATTATTTATTATGGTGTATGTGTGTGTGTGTTACTAATAAGTAATAACTATGGTATTGAAACATGAATTTACTTCCTCGGAGGCGGCGATGCAAGGGCACGGCTATATAATAATAATATGACGGCCAACTGCGCAAAACCCCAAGAGTGCTGGTAACGTGTCAAGGGCCCTACGCCGCTCCGTCAGCGCCGAGTAGGAGGACGTGTACATAACGCGGACAAAGGACCAGCTGATTTTTACCTGCCAACGACCGAAACTACCCCCCAAAACCGACAACAATACACCTTGTGTGGAATGCACACCGGGAGGGTTGAGATCCGCCGTTCGTCGTCGTGGTCAACAAGAAGAATTACCTACCTACGACTGCTATACGAACGAATATTTTTCGGTCATGGAATGTAACGCACTAAGGGATTATTATTATACTAAAAGGGACGCCAACTCGAAATCGAACGTTGAAAAATATATTTTAGTAATAACTAAACTAATAAAAATTATTATCGTGTGAACGTCTCTTACCTTCGACACTGTTCAACAAATTACAGCGATTCGGTCGTCTCAATTCCATTCTGAAACACGAACAAAAATTTTTCCACATTAGTCGGGCTAAATATATACATGGTACACACAATAATTTACTAATAACGCGCGTCACATTATCGTTGGTGTACGCTGCTACACGCGCGCAAAATATATATTATCATAAATGAACGTTAAAATGCACACACGCGCGAATTTAAGCGGGATACAAGGAAATTCCGTTTGAGCGATAAAAACGTGGGAATAGATGATGCGTGCGTGCGAGTGTGTACTACGAATGGCGAGCGACTGCCGCTGCGGTGACGATGGCGACAACAAAACTTACCACCAAAGTCCTGTGGTGCGCGATTGTACAGCGTGTTATTCTTATTATTCTGCTCTGTGTGTATAATTTTTTTCTCTCACCGGTCGAAAACGAACGCACTTGCGGGTCTTCAACGAAAAAAATGTAGTAATAATAATAATAATAATAACACTTTTAACACTTATAAAATAAAATAAAAAATATAATAATAATAAAACAAACAAACAAACGAGCGAGGAAAAATTATTTGATAATGAACAAAATATAACAACACTCCAAATGTTGCACACGCGCGCGTGCTATCGTGACGATTTTGTTATTAATGAAAATTTCCAGTTTTTTCCATTCGTTTTTGTTTCACTCGAACATTTTTTATTTCATTTTTTTTTTGTTCTTAAATCACGAGGTAAATCAAAAAAAAAAAAATCAATAAAGAAAAAAAAACTTAACAGCGGACTAACATACACGTACGGAATTTAAAAGTAAAAATTAAAATTAAAACTTATTTCCATCAACAAAACATAAACGTGAATTTTTTTTTTTTGAACCGGCTCGCGCACGTAAGCGACGTCTGCATGAATGACGGTATGGGAACCGGCCGATCAACTAAACTGCGTGATCGTCTGCCGCGACGCGGTGGTGACGGCGGCGACCCGGTAGCCCAGGTGATGGGACCGAGTGCGCGCCGGCTACGCGCCACCGGCAGCGCGCTCTACCGGGACACGCGTTTTCCTTCGCTAGTCGTCCCCACCGGCGGCGTCCGTTGCAACCGCCGACGTCGTACCATAGAGTAATTACTCTATGCGTCGTACCGACCGACCGTCGTCTGTCCGACAGCGGTTGAGCGGGCCATTGATTGCCTGGCTACGGCGTCGTAATTTCATTATTATTTTTCATTTCCTCTCCGACGAAAATACGAAATAGAAATCAAAATATGCCCTCCCAGTGCATTAGACCCCAGGTCGGTCTAGGAGTTCACGAAAACTCGGACGAGTGCAGGCACGTTTTCCAAAGCGGATTTGAGAGAGTTGAGCAAAGGGCGTCCCCCGTAGAGTACAGACAGTACAGTACTGACCGTACGACTCTCACACATTAGGAAAATATGCTTAACTGATTGTTTGGTTAGGCTAGGCTTCAGCTGGAATTTCAAAGAAATCTCCCATGTGGTTATACTTCAATATTCTTCAATTCTTCACACGTGACACGGATACAAAAAAAAAACAATAATTTTATGTTAGAACTCTTATCGTTGGCACACCACTCGTAATATTAATAATTCAAAATTACACCTTTTAATGTATGCAATATTATCATGTTGATTCGTAGTGTCGAGTGTCCACTGCAGCGGGCCTATCCGCCTTTCGAACGTCAATGCTTTTTTAATTTTATTTTCGACGCGTTTTAAGTTTATTTTAATAATAACTAATCTTGCGAGTTGTACGAGCTTTATCTTTACAACCTCTCTCTATACTGGTCTCGACAACAACATCCAAATTTTTAATAAAAAAATGTAAATTATTTCAATTGAGAGACACGCTCTATATAATATGCAGTATCATGTAGACTATTGGCAGTAGCCTATCAGTAACAGTCTGCATGATTTTTTGTAAACTGCTGAAGCCGAAGAATATTTTTGTTTTTGATTTACAACACAATTACCTACATGTTTCATAAATATTATGTACATTGATAATTAGGTATTTTGTTGTTTCCGAAAATGAGATTAAATAGTTAATATACAGTTAGTTATATTTATACGTTGATTTACGTTATTTCTGCATGTTATCTGGATGTAATTTAGGTTTATTTCCCGTGTTTGTAAAATAAATATTATGTAAATATTTGTTATTCATTTGACATTTCAACTTTTATCGAATGGCTGAGTAACACCGAGCGCATAAGCTATGGGAGTGTACATAATATTATTATCACCGCAGAACAAGAGTCTATAATTTGTACACTGCTGTAAACACGATATTATAATACGTGGAATAAAAGTATTTATATTTCTGAGCCACAAGACGGATAAACACGAACATATCGATAATATCTAATGATTAATATTTAATACTGTCTGCAACGTTTCAAAAGGCGTTTTATACACTCGCGTTATAGTGTTTCACCGTGTTTGTAGTGTTTGTACAGGTTTGGTCTAAAAAGTTACTGCCGAAAGGACAAGTAATAAAAAACGCACGTAGACACTTACACGTACGGTACAAAAAGAGTACCAGCGCTAATGACACTATTGTATAACAAAATATTATTATAAATAATTATAATACATAGCCAAATAGGTACAGAATATTATAGTATATAGGTACTACGTTCGTGGAACAACGCTATGACAAATAGTATGAAAAGCGCACATATTGTTTAATAAATTATAATATAGAAAAGCAGCGAAAGAACGAGGATGACGAATGAACATTGAACGCGAGCACGCTGCCATAGTAACTTTTAAGTGTATAAGAAATAAGATATAGTGCCTACTATAGAGTACTACACTGTTATTGTAATACACATAAACAATATAATTGCTGTGTTTGTACACGTACAAATATTATCATGTCGAATAAAATGTACGCAACGAAAACCGGAAAGAGTCGGAGAGAGAATATTTTCGTGACAACAATATTATATTATATTATATACCTCCGATTCGCTCAGAGGCACACGTCGTTGTCATCGTCGTAGCCGTCGTAGCCGTCGATGACACGCAAAGTCATAAACATCCGGACAATTTACAATAAAAAAAATAATAATAACGATAAACAAATACAGCTTTTATATAATATTATTATATACCATTTTATATATTTTTAAATTACACGATAATATATTATTATTACATTATTACTGTGGTAATTAAAACTCCGGAGAACACACATTGTGCGTGCAATAAAAACTCGTACAATGATGATGATGATGATGATAGTAATAACAACAATAATATATGGAGAAATAACGAGACAATAGAGCGGCGTCGGCGGGACAACAATAATAATAATATTATAATATAAATCTAAATGGTTCGCATTTGTTGCATGTTTTGATATATTGAAATAACTATACTGCCGCAGAAAGCGGAGAGAGTAACGTGGTTTATTGGCACGAACCGACCGCCGACATCATTGCCGCCAGAGTGATATTTAACGATTCTAATTAAAAAATAAAATAATAAAACCTCTCTTTGCATTGCCTATATCTTTCGGACATCAATCGTGTGTGCATGAACGTGTGTGCAGCATAATAATAATATATTATAATATTATAATATGTACACGCGAGCTCGCCAATTACAATAATACTTGTAAAC